TAAAGAAGAAGAAGGGGAAGTAATAAACGCTAGAAGATAAAGATAATAAATTATACTTACTAATTAAAGTAAAAAGCTCCTTCCTAATTTAAATTAAGATAGAAACTATTAACCTTCGGGTTTTCTTTTACTAGAGGAAAGTATTAGACGTTTTAATATTTATTTGTGTATATAGGTTTAAAAAAAAGATTTTACTTATATAATTCTAAATTATTTTAATACGGATATTGTCTTTTAATCGGACCTTAAAAATTAATTATTAACGAAGGAGGAATTTTAAGAATATTTAGATAATAGAATTAAAATTGAGAAAATTCTTTTTTAGGTATTAAAGTTAGGGAGGTTAAGGGAATATTATTTAGTAATTAAATTAGAAGAGGAGTAGTACGAAGAACTGATAAAATACTTTTAAGAAGGGAATAAGACATTAGTAATATTAGAATAAGAAAATATAGGGATGAGGAAGGGATAATTGTGCTAATTACGGGTGCTATTTAAATTATAATTATAGTAAAAATTGAAGCGCTACTTAATAAGGCGCCTAATTGCGCTTAAAAAGTTATTCGAATAACGTTATTATACGGATTTAATTTATAATAATTTTATAATACTATTAAACCTAATTTTTATTTAGAGCGTAACGGCCGGAAGTATCGATAGTTATTAGGCTATTAAAAGTAGAACTATTACTATTAATACTAGAGATTATATAACTAAGAATAGTAATAATATTATTATTAAATATAATATATATAGGAGTAATAATATCATTATTAGAATTAAAAATAATCCGAATTAAATTTATAACGTTATTATTGGGGAGGGAGGGCGATTAATTAAAATAGATATCCCTTATAATAAATTTATAATAACCCTTCTATAGGAGGTTAATAATATTAGAATATAAGAGGTAGGGAAGAGTACGAATATTAGTAGGTAGGTTGTTATATCTTAAGTATATATATATATAATCAGCGAAATTATTAGTAATACGAATAAAGGATTTAACTTTCTAATTAAAATTAGGTTAGCTACCTAATAGTATAGTAATAGTTATTACCTAAATAATATTACGGACGTTACAAAGGCCGGCAGGGACGTCTAATATATCTTTACTAGTAGTATAAATAAAGGTTATATTCCAAGAGCCGGTAATTATAATACGGGAATTAAATAATAGTAAGGAAAGGAATAGGAAGATAGAGAACCTACCGGATACCGAAATATAATAAACTTTATTAATAATAATTATATAAAAAGTGTTAGAAAAGGCGGATTTATTACTAATTTTCGGGTAGATAGTTAAATTTAGGGTATAGTATAAGTAAAGAATTTTATAAATAATATTAATTAAGTTAGTATATAAATTAAAGAAATAGAGGGAAAAATTATACTATATTTAAGGAATTATAACATTAAGAAGATTATAAAGGAAACGGGCAAAGGTTGTAGGCTTTAAATATATTAGGGATATAAGGCTAGGGGATAATTTAAGGGAGGAAATTTTTATATTGGAAGTTAAATTAATTAAGTTAGAGTAATAATAGTTAGAGGAAATTATTTTAGGTAAAATTGTAATAGGAAAGAAGGAAAATGGGAATTAGGAAGGGGCGCTATAGAGAGGATTATATAAAAGGAGGAGAGAGTCCTTATACTATTATAAATAGAGGTAGAATTATAGGGTAGAAAGTAAAAGGCCGGGGCGGAGGTGATTATAAACGGAATAAAGAGGCGGGGAAGTAGAATAACGGACGGGAAAATAGGATAGGGTAGTAGGGAGAAGGCGGAGGAAAGAGCGGTAGATATTAGGATAGAGGGATAATAAAGGGAAATAGCGCTTTAAATTTGGATTTTATTCCTATTATTCTTACTATTCTAATATTAGGATAATATAATAGTAGGATAAATAAAATTAATTCGTTATAACAATAAGTAAGAACCGTTATAACTATAAATAAAATAGGAGTAGTATAAAATCTACGACTAAAATATAGTTAGGGGTTTTTATCCAACGGCGCTTAACGCCGTATAGTTTTCCCTTCTAGGGAATTAGAGAAGGGCCCTATACTAAAATAGTACTATAATAATATAGTATAGGGAACAAGATTATTATTATTATATATCTAATTCCCTAATATTTATAATATTATTAAATATTATTCGAAATTTAAAATAATTCGTACGGATAAATATTACCGTCCTAAAGGAAAATATTATCCTAAAGGAAATATACTACTAATATAGTAGCATCTTCTACTAAAAATAGACTTCTATTCTCTCTATCCCTTCTTTTCTATAACCGAATTTTGATAATAATTACCTCCGTATTTCCTTCCCTCACTACTCTTACCAAAATTTCTATTATAGTATAATTATTAATACTAACCCAAAGTATACTTCGGATTAATACGCTTATAGTATTTATAGTAATAAAAGTATCCAGACTAAGAACTTCCTTAACCTATATTTAATTCTAGTAATACTAATTATATATAAATTTAATCAATACAATTACATTATCTCCAATTATCGGTATTCTAATAATCGTACGGATTACCAAACCGGGTTTCTTTTTATTCGAATTTATAATTAGGGTTATTTTCGTATTTTCATTTAAATAGTTTATAAATTCAATAATAATCATCGCTCCTTTAATTGTAAACTACCATTAAAAATCAAAAGGAGTAAACTTTTTAATAATAATAATAAATAATTATTAAAGGGTAGTACTAATGTTACTTAGAACGGTTTTTATTATAATATCAGCCTAATACTCTAGTACCTTCTAAATACCTTTTTAAATTTCCTTTAGAATATCCTTTTTTAAATTATTGAAATCCTTTTTAGTAATAAATTAATTAATTTCAATTTTATTAGCCTCGGGTTATAGGGACCTACTTTTTTTAATATATACTTTTACGAATTTAAAAAATAATTTTCAAACCTAGCGTCAATCCTCAATCGAAATAGTATTGTAATCTATAGACTTATTTATTCTAATGATAAATATCTTTAATATTTTATTGTTTTCTCCCGGTTTTTCCAGAATTTTCGTAGTAAGTACGGCTTTAGGGTTATTATAAACTGAGATTTCCGCAAGTAGATTATAAATATTATTTTCGAACCTATAAGTACTACTATCGATGGCCATCGGTAACGACGATGCAACACTATCGTTGCGCTCATCGTAGGATATTATAAGGAATATAAACAACCCTCCTAAATCGATTACCATTGTTACTTTTCGTTTTGGAGCACTCCTCGACCAGAAATCGGCGTTTCCGGTTTCGGCGTCGTTTTCCTAACGTATTTATAGATATATAAAATATGCTAGAAGAATAATATTCAAAGAGTAGACGAAATAAATTTATTAGATTAACAAAAAGTATAAGGACCCCAACTTCGACATTAGCAACCAAATTATCATTATTTAATAATTATAATTAACAATAATTCGCTTTAATAACAAATTCGGGTTCTTTAATACCCGCAACTATTATAAAATTATTAAGAAAGTAAATTACTCTTACTAACTAAAACTCCCTAATAATTAGAAAAGCTTAAACCTCTTCTACGCCAGCCGTCTATATAAATACAATAATAACCTGTTACCCAACTAGTTTATTGAGTACCCTAATCCTATTACAAGAAAGAATAAGGACCTTGAATAGAAGGTTAAGAAAATTAATACTTTTAAAGTTATTAATAGTGGATTCTTTTATAATGCGGACTAAAGGGGTTAAGACCCCAATCTAAAATACTAACCCGCTTCGGACTTTAAATACATTTTGAAATTGCTTTAGGAATTTTATAAAGCTAAGCCGGAGGCCCCAGGCCCGTCTAAACAATTAATAATTAAATTAAACAAAAATTAGAAGAAATATACAAATAACGAGCTATTAGAATTATTAGAATTAGAGCGCTTACAACGAATCTTACGTAAATACAACTATGAAAAGATTATTATATTTATTATAGAGCCTCTAATCTAGTCTAGCAAAATTCGTAAACGAATCGTTTATATAAGGGGGGGTAATATAACGGCACCGGTCCGGCTATACCGTTATACCTACTATACCCTATAGGAGAATTAATGTTATAAAGTACTAGAAGGTACTACGAAGGTTGGAGGAACGAATAACATAGAAGGTTCGTACTAAGACTAACCTAAATAGGCGCTAAGCCTATTCGAAAATATTTACTCTTATTTATTATATAAGTAAAAGGAGATACGAGTAAAGGGATTGGCTATTAGCGACCCGTATATAGGTTCCGCTATTACTTATATAATAGAGTATTTATTTGGATTCGTAACGTATATATTTATTTCTCTCCCCTTTCTTCTCCTTACCTAAAATCTTCTATTATAAATAGAAGCTTAACTCTACCTTCGAGTTACCTATATTATACCGTTACAATTATATTATAATATATATACGCTAGCCTATACTTAGGAACTCGGCCTTCGTACCTCGCCCTATATCACTAGACCTACGCACACCTCTCTTCCTCTCTCTTTATACAACTATATATATCCAACCAACCCCCTACTATTATACCTTGCCCCGTAATGGAAATATAAAGGCTATTATAAATAATGGAATAAATTAATAAAACTTAGTTAAGTAATGTATATATATATTGGTTCTAGTAAGTTTATTAGTTTAATATTTATAAATTAGAGTTTTAAGTAAAAGAAATAAAAAATATTATAGCTCGCTATAAGTACCTTATTAATACCTTGTAATTATATTAATTACGGAGCATATATTAGAGAGTTTTAGTATCTTTTATTAAATTTCTAAGGTTTGTATATAGGTAGTTGAATCTCTCCTATTTACAAATTCTAACTTTAGAATTAAGTTATTTAAATAAATTAAAGCTTGTAAATAAACCTATCCTACCTTGCGATTTTCTCTATTACCCCCTTATTAAGACGCCTATACCTTCACAAGGCTCGAGCATTATTATAGGCCGAAAGGTAATATAGAAGATCCGTACTAAAAGTCGTAGCCTATAGGCCCACCCAACGCCACAAGCGAGTAAGGCGCAGCGTATCTATTTATAATAGGCCAGAATGTAAAAAATTGGTCACTCTGTGATCCGTGCGTTCTGTCTTGGTAGTCCAAAAGGGAAAACTTGGCGCTATGCAAAACACAGTTTGAATAGCAACTCAAAAAAACCACTTTTTCCTTTGTAATGGAGATTCCTCTTCCGCCGTTGTATATATTTAATAAGAAACTCTATTCGCACGGGGAAGAAACTCTATTCGCACGGGGATCCACCTTTTTGCCCATACATAACCCTAACCCTCTTAGCCCCCAATATCTCAGATATATTCTTTAATAGATTTCGCCTAGTAAATTTGGGTATTATATTCTTTTATGCTATGCCAAGCGTAAATTCCAGACTGTAGCCAGTGTACGCACTAAACTCGATATTTATAAAATATTTTACAATGTACTTTATAGGGCATTTAGTAGTATAGTCGTACGCGCCCGTCGGTTGGGGTATTGTTATATCGGCTATCTATATTACGGTTAGCTGGGGAAATATATTAAAAAGTAATGTATTAATTTATACCGTCGATTAAATGCGAGTGTTTTATTTACTTTAGTAGTATTTAGTAATATACGGGGTAGTGGATTGATTAAATATAATGTGGTAATAATGTGTATAGTTTAGTAGAGGAAGTAATGCGACGAAGTATATATTAGAATAATTGTTAAATTAGATTGAGCTGGCTAGTATAGTACGAGGGTGGCCAGTGCAACCCCTAGATGGGTGTAATAGCTTAAAATCTAGGAGCTTGGCGGGTGCGGTACGAGCGAGACTGGTGCGGGTCGGTAGTGGGTATGTAGGGTTAGGGTTATGTATGGGTAAAAAGGTGGATCCCCGTGCGAATAGAGTTTCTTCCCCGTGCGAATAGAGTTTCTCTATTTAATTGCATATAGTGTCAAGATAACGAGAAAAGAAAGGCGGTCATTTTGGTACTGGTCGCACTATAGTGCACGCATTAGTTATTGAGAAAAAAGCAAAAGAAGTTAAAAATAAGGATTCTAGTAGTAAATGCGCTCGGGCGTTATAAATAACTAAGTTCCAAAAATAACCAAGTCCGAGAAATGACCTATAACCCTACCCTTAAATATTAATAGGAGGGTTAGGGTTAGAAATAAAATTTTTAGCATCGGATTTTTGAGTAAAAAAAAAAACAAAAAAAAACCAAATTTTGGGGAAAACAATTTCTAAGTTTCTTTTTTCTTTTCTCCCCTCTGCCTCGTAATATACTGAAGAGAATTCAACTACTTTAAATAATAAGTAGTTAAACTTAGTAGCTTAATAATTATTATAGCTACTTACTTCTTTAGAAGTTATGTATTTAATTTAGCTTTAAAGTTTTTTACTTTTTTTTACTTCCTTTTTAAATAGTAAGTATAAGCGTCTTTCTATCTCCCCTAGACTTTAGCTCCGCCCAAGGGAACTGTATTTTAGAAATATATAGGGCGAGTAGAGACTAACAGACTTTCTAGGACTAATATATATATTAAAGGTAATATTTTAACACTTCCTATTCTTTGAAGAGCCCCGTCCTCGGCCTAGGCCTCCGGTCTTTAACCTAACTTAATTTGTATATACTAAATACAATCAGAAATTTATAAGGCTATTAGCAGCATCTTATTAAACTTAATAAATAATAACAATAAATAACACTATAATACGAATTTGAAAATGCTATATAAGTTAAATAGTAAATTTACTTATAATTTAATAAGTTAGCAGTTTTATAGCCGGTTTACCCATTTTCTATATCGCTTTAACTACTGAAATGTATTATTTTTACTAAGACTAGAGAAGACTTATAGTACTTCGTGACTTTTCTAATGTGACTAAATAACGCGGACTATAATATTTATACAAAAGATCGAGAACGAGAAAAGTGTCCTTTCCTAATAAAATTGATAATTTTATATTAGTATCTAAAATATTAAAATAGAAATTTACAATCATTTTATCTAATATTAGTATTATAGGATTTGTACTCGTTATATTAGAATTTGAAAAAAATCTATATTTTTATTTTATATACGAGAAGAGTAACTTTATTAGTTGATTAGTCTTTATACCTAAAGTACTACAACAGTTAGTAAAATTTAAGTATCTATAAGTGTATAAATATAAAGGTAGATAAAATTAGTCTGTATTATATAACCTCCAATAACAACCTTCAACAAACCCGCCCCACAATTATATGGGTCTCCTCTTCTCGAACCGTAAAAACAGGGGGTAGGGTCGTGAGTGGGGTGGGCTTTGGAGGGTTAGTGGGTTATAAGAACTGAGACTAGGATAAAATAAGGTCAGCCGATTGTCCACTTTTGGGTCTTGGCGAAAATGAGACATTTGAGTAGTTAAAGGGATGACTATCCCTACATTCGTAGCTTCCACGTACCAAGCGAGTAATCATCGAACAGTTTTTGAGCCTACCTCTTTACCTCCCCACAACCGAAATCTACCGCTCACTATCCCACACTACCGCATAATCCCATACGACGAAGTGTTGATCTTACCACTGGGGTGCCCTTCCACACGTGGTACCTTGTTGTTAGCGCCTGCGGATGACGAGCATCCCTCAGCCGATCCGGCCACTTGGGCCGTGGTATGTCTTCAATCTATCTCAACCCATCCATACCCCTTCCGCCTCCTCTGCCACATCTACCTATTCCGCTTCCCCTCATTCCGTCGGTCTCTGGTGGTGGCCAGGGCAACTCCGCGTAAGGATGTGGAAGGTCCTCCATCATCGGATGGCCTTTCAGCCCTGTGCTTCCGTCTGTATGCACTGCGCCGTCTCAACCACCTCCGTCCGCTCCCTGCATTGGCCAGTCCTGCTTCCTAAACCCCAGCCCCCTCTCAGTCTCCCAACCGGTTGTTCACCCCTTCTCCTCTTGACAAGCTCACACCAAGGCTAATCGTTACGGTTATATTCCGGCGCTGTTCTCAGTGAAGTGTTTTCGTCCTCAAGGCACGCGTTGGGCTTCTATCGGTGCCTGGCCAACACTTGTCGCTATGCTGTTCCATGGTCTGTCCTCCAAGGCAAGAATGTTCCCGACGTATTGGAGGCTGCAGTCGCAAATCTGGTCCTCCGGTTGCCCCGGTTGAGTGTGGCAATCACTGGCGATGAAGCATCTCGCCCTTACTTTGCCTCGGTGTCCTCTCTGGATCTTTCTTACCACTTGGAATGTGTGGAGCTGCGTGCCGAACTTGATTTTCATGCTCGCGACTCACACCTACTCCATATGTTAGAAGCCCAACACAACCAGTTGTGGCCTGACGTCGGGTTCCGACCGCCCTGGAAGGTGCTTGCCGTTTATGATCCTCGGCCGTCACAACTTGAGGACAGGCTGATACTCGATATTGTGCTTGCCATCCACCACTCTCTCGCTGATGGAAGGAGCACAGCCATTTTTCAGACCAGTCTCTTGGACGAATTGAACAAGCCACCAGTCCGCCCTTCGTGCCTAGAGGACCACGTTTTACGGATGCCCAGCAAGCCTCATGGGCACATTTCGCCACCTCAGGAAGAGCTCGTCAAATTCACCACGTCTTGGAGGTTCCTCGCCGGCACGTTGTGGAACGAATTCGTCTCAGGCTGGCTCTGCAAACCAGCGACCGACCTTCCTTGGGCGGGCGCACCGATCAGGCCTGACCCTTACCAAACCAGACTCCGTCTGGTTACCATCCCTGCAAAAGCTGTGTCACAGCTTCTTGCCAATTGCAGGGCGAATGAAACCACACTCACCCCTTTACTTCATGTGCTAATTCTCACATCTCTGGCTCGACGCCTAACAGCAGAGGCAGCCACGTCATTTCAGAGCTGCACTCCTGTAGACTTGCGCCCCTTTATTCAATCTGGATTTCATGTGGCTGATCCCGCCGAAGTCTTTGGAGTACTGGTCACTTCGGCGTCGCACACTTTCAACTCTTCTCGTGTCTCGGAGCTGCGGGAGCAAGCAAGTGGAGAGAAGATTTGGAGCCTTGCTCAAACCTTGCGTCAGGAACTCAAGGACCGGCTCAAGACCATTCCTCAAGATGACATGGTGAGTATGCTTCGCTGGATTGCCAACTGGCGTGGTTTCTGGCTCAACAAGGTGAACAAGCCGCGGGAGCACACATTAGAAGTGTCCAACATTGGATCGCTGCATGGCAGTCCGGAAAACACTGCCAATGCAGACCGAGAAACCGGTTCAAAGTGGCAGATAGTACGGTCTGTAATGTCGCAGTGCGCCATAGTCGCAGGGCCGGCTCTCTGTGCTAGCGTTTCGGGTGTTGTAGGGGGTCCCATAAGCATTGCGCTAAGTTGGCAGGAAGGTATTATCGAGTCAGAACTTGTCGAAGGTGTAGCACACGATTTGCAGCTCTGGATGAACCAAGGCGGTCCAGTGCATGGTCAAAGGTTGCCGTAATGTGCGCTGACACGGAAGTTGGTGTCGTGGAAACGAGGTCTTGCCGATCAGCAGCTGGGAGGTGGTGGTTTACTTGTATAAGCAGGCTCTTTTTTGTAACAGAAGTCTTCTATAGCCTTTGTGCTCTCCGTGTAGACCTTCCGGATACCATAGAAGAGTCAGTAGCTGTACTTGAAATGATGGCGTTACTTTACTTGTTAGAATGGTACATGCAATCTAATGCTGTGCTTGTCTGTTAATTTGATAGCCAAGTTCCCACTCCTAGCATACTAGAGGAGATGTCTTCCGATCTCCTAAACCCTAGATATAAGGACCGAATAAATAGTTACCCTAGGTATGGATCCAAGAGGCGTCAACAAGATTACGGCGTGTTTCAACTTGGAAACGGAATAATACCTACTATTCACAGCTTGAAAACGCCTTAGGAAGTTGCTCTGAGGTCTCGAGCTAACGATCAAATTAGTTAGGGCGTGTTTGGCTATTCTGAAATCCGACTCTGAAGTGTTCAGACCCGTTTTTTCAGAGCCGTGTTTGGAATAGTCTCAGTTCTCAAACCCACTCAACCTCCCGAAACCACCCCACCTCACTCCACACTACCCGTTTCTAATAGAGGGGGTCTGTAATAGAGACTATGTTTGGAAACACTTTGAAATTTTTTACTCTTAAATCCCCATTGAAAACCGACTCTGAAATTTACTACTCCACTTTGTAAAAAAACAGCTGATGAAATCGCGTAAATCTTCTGAATTTCAGAGTAA